AATTGATATGCAAACTAGATACAATCAACTCAGGATTGAATAAGGACTGAGGGGTCATTGTCCAGGATGGGTTGTAGATCACTAATGATGCGTTGGAGAGGTTTAAGCTGAGGACTGTAGGTGATGGCCAGTGGAGTTCTGTTGGTTTCTCTTCTGGGCCTGTCTTGTAGCAGGAGGCTTCTGGGTACACGTCTGGCTCTGTTGATTTGTTTCTTTATTTCCTTGTGTGGGTATCGTAGTTTTGAGAATGCTTGGTTTGTCTTAGTGATTGGCTGAACAAGTAGGACCAAGTGGACTTGTAGGCTCTAAAGTTTTACATTTTTTTTGCATAACTGCATTCAAAAAATAAAACAATTCTACATTTGTAAGTTTCACTTTCACAATAAAGAGATTGCACTACACAGTACTTGTATGAGGTGAATAGAAAAATAGTATATTTATTTTTTACAGTGCAAATATTTAGTCAAAAATATAATAAAGTGAGCACTGTACACTTTCTATTCTGTCTTATAATTTAAATCAATATATTTGAAAATGTAGAAAACATCCAACAATGTTTAAATAAATGGTATTCTATTGTTTAACAGTGGACTTAAAATGGTGATTAATTGCGACTTTTTAAAATCTTGTGATTAATCAATCACAATTGTTTTAATCATTTGACGACAACCCTGTTAAATACATCTCGGCTCAGATTTCACTCCTCTGATGAGCAATCCTGCTGCAAAAATCAGGCCATTGTTACACTGAGGCCTTATCTACACCACAGTTTTGTAGAAGCAAGTTATAACAATCAAAAACCAGTATAATTATGTTGCTTGTGCACGTTCATACAACGCTCCTTCTGTCGGCAGAGCATGTACAAAGTTGGTGCTCTAGCACCAACAGTGAGAACAATGCACTGTGGGTAGCTATCCCACTGTGTTACTCACTACTTTCTGCAGCTACAAGTTGTGTGAAGGCAGAGTGGATCTCAATGCATCATGGGTGCAGGTTCAACATCCCATGATGCAGTTTTTTTCCATCCTATCATTCCATGGGCTTCCAACTGCGTTTCATGACATTTTTCAATTACTCTTGTTTACTGAGTGCCAGTCATCTGTCTGAAAGGATGGATTCCGCACTGCTCTCTAATGTTGTGGTCACTGTTATGACCCATTGCGAATGGTCACACAGTATATCATGAACTCCCAATCTGAACAGCAATCAATCAGAGTTGCCTGACCTGCTGTGTCCCATGGAAAAAAACCCACCAGATTACTTTTGGCATTCACGCAGCAGCTGCACACAGTGGACCATCGTTTGGGGCTCAGGAAACAAGCACTGAATGGAGGGATCGCATTGTTATGCAGTTCTGGGATGACAAACAGTGACTGCAGAACTTTTGGATGCAGAAAGCCACCTTTCTGGAACCATGCACGGAGCTCGACCCAGCACTTCAGCGCAAGTACACCAAAATGAGAGCTGCCCTCTCAGTGGAGAAGCACATGGCAATTGGTGTGTGGAAGCTGTCAACTCCAGACTGCAACCAGTCAGCTGCGAATCAGTTTGAAATCGAGAAGTCCACCGTTGGGGCTGCATTAAAGCAAGTGTGCAGAGCCATTAATCGCATCCTGCTATGAAGGACTGACTCTTGACAATGTGCATGAAACAGTGGATGGCTTTGCAGCAATGAGATTTCCTAACTGCGGTGGGGCGATAGATGGCACGCATATCCGAATTTTGTCCCCGACCATTCTGCGACATCAACAGAAAGGGCTATTTTCTATATTGCAGGCACTTGTGGATCACTGTGGGCGTTTCACGGACATCAACATGGGTGGTCCAGGAAGGTGCATCACGCACGCATCTTCAGAACACTGGTGTGTACAGAAAGCTCCAAGCATGGACTTTCTTTCCAGATCAGAAGATTCCAGTGGAGGATGTTGAAATGCCCATAGGGATCCTGGGAGACCCCAGTGTACCCCTTACTCTCACGGCACATGAAGCCTTACACAGGAAACCTGGACAGCAGCAAGGAGTGTTTCAACAGTAGACTGAACAGGTGCAGAATGACCAAGAATATGCCTTTGGCAGATCAAAAGTACACTGGCGTGTCCTTTATTGCAGTTTAGATCTAAATGAGGAAAATATTCACATGGTCATAGCAGCCTCCTGCACACTCCATAATATTTGTGAGGCTAAGGGTGAAAAGTTTCCTCCGGGGTGAAGTGCAGACACCAATCGCCTGGCGGCTGATTTTGAGCAGCCAGATGCCAGGGCTATTATAGAGGGGCACAACAGGGAGCTATCAGAATCAAGGAGGCTTTGAGGCAACATTTTGACAATGAGCACCAGTAATGTGTCTTTCTATACAGCACTCTGCCATGTTTTAATTTGCCACCTTGCATGAAAATTGTGATGATTCCTGACTGTGATTTGGAGTCAGCAAATGATCATATTGCCACTGAGTATTAATTCCAGCAGCAACAACCACATATAGAAGACAAATAGATATTGCTTATCTTTCAGAGAGTTTGTTTTTATTAAATACCAATTAACAACACACATAAAAGGCTTGGTGGGAAGGGAGATAACAGTGCAGGGCAATGTAGGCTCTCATAGCTGTGTGTAAGTCTAGCTATCATTTTGAAAGCTGTTCAAAGGGGTGGATTGAACAGGGTACCGAGATGCTCCAGGAAGTTGCAAGGAATGTGTGGGAGGAGTTTGGGGAGGGCATAGAAAGTAGTTCTGTATTGGCTGCAAAGGGAGGTAGGGGAAGCAAGCACGTGTTCTGCCTGGAGCATGATTTAGGGACTTCAAAATCTCTGTTTACTCCTCCAACATTTATCATCCACTCCTGGCCCATTACAATTCACTCCTCGCTCTCCTTTCTGTACTGCCTGTCTATATTAATTTTCTCCTTCAAAGTTTTTCTCCACTCCCTGTGTTCTTGTTTTTTCGCCTCTGAGGATTCGAGCACCTCTCAGAACATGTCCTCCTTGGGCTCTTCCTTATCTGGCAGAGGCATTCCACCGTTGTGTAAGGGGTTCCCCAGAAGGCTACATCTGCAAAAGCACAAGTAACAATAAATAGAAGTATGATTGTTAGTTCACGCACAGCATCAAATCATTATTGTAAAATACCCCTCTTTTTACATATGAATCAGTTTCTCACTGTCCCTTGGCAAGCACACATCTCAAACACCCTAAACATGGTGAGTTTGGCCCGGGGTAGGGGCACAAGATGCGGGAAAGGTTCTAGGTGGCTTTTTAAGGGGATCGCTGCAGGTGACTAAGGATAATATTGTAAATTCTGCCACCATTCTCCATAGGCTGGGGAGGTGTCACTGAAGCCAATCTCTCATTCCTGAGGGCAAGGATGTTGTACATTTTTATCTCTTCACCCACTTCTAGAATACACAGAGCTAGGGACAGCTCTACTTCATATAAATGAGCAGCATCAACTCAAACAGATCACTTACCAGAGCTCTCCTCTCCTGCATCATGCGTGCCAGAGACAGCCTGCTGGCACTAGCTAGATCCCTCCAGAGTGGAAAAGAGGTCCTGACTCGCCACACCACTGGAGGACTCTGCCATGTGCTCCACCTCATCCTCCAACTTGAGCTCCTCATCCACTGTCCACTATCTCCAGCCACGCCAAAGTATCCACCAGGCTCTTGGCGGTGGAGGTGGGGTCACCAACGAGGATGATGTCCAGCTCCTGAGAAAAGTGGCAGGTCTTTGGCCCAGCACCAGAGCAACAGTTTGCCTCCCTTATCTTCTGGTATGCTTGCCACAGCTCCTTTATCTTTGCACAGCACTGATGCATGTCCCGTTCATAGCTCTTATCCAATATGCCACGAGAAATCAGACTGTAGGTATCAAAATTCCTACGGCTGGAGCGGAGCCCCCTGTCCCCACAATGCCAACGGATCCAACAACTCACCCTCCACTCCCCACAATGCCAGCAGATCCAACAACTCAAGCGGAAAAGCGTTTGCTGTATGGAGCCGCTATGGTCAGCCAAGAAGATGCGATCTGAGCTCTCCGCACCGAGCAAACAGGAAGTGGAATTTCAAAAATTCCCGGGCCTTCAAAGGGGGAGAGCCAGATGCCTGTATATCTGGATGCAGGGCAGCGAAGTTCAAACTGCTGACTGGAGTGGTCAGGATGGGCATTGTGAGATACCTCCTGGAGGCCATTTACAGCAACATAACCAAGCGTGGTGTCTACACTACCACTTGGTCGATATAACTTTGCCACATTTTGTCACGAAACCAGGAGAGTTTTGTGGCAGAAGGAGCATTGCAATATGTACACCTCCACTGTTTTGTCGACAAAACCTGACTTTTTGTTGACAAGGCCTGAGTTTCTCTTTCATGAGCTCTAAATTGAAGCTAAATAGTCTGCCCAACTGGACAGTTGCATAATTTGGAGGAGATCATTGCCTCTGGTACCTCCTTACTTTTTCAGGTATAATACTACTCACATGTTTTCAGAAACCACAACTGGCACCCTGAACCCTTTTTTAAAACGCCATAATAGAGGCTCAAACTATAGGTATACCTCAAATTAAAAACCGTAAGAGGTCCAAAAAAATGCCACCATGGCTAAAACAACAGAGTAAAAGAGGTGATTAGAGACAGACATCTTTTAAAAATTGGAAGTCACCGCATACTAAGGAAAAGAGAAAAGGACAAACCGGCAAGTCAAATGTAAAAGTATAATTTAGGCAAGCCGAAAAAGAATATGAAGAGCAACTAGAAAAGGACACAAAAACTAACAGCACAAAACATTTTTAATATCAGAAGCAGGAATTCTTCCAAACATCAGTGGAGCCACCAGACACGATCAAGGTTAAAGGAGCACTCAAGGAAGACAAGAAGCTAAATGAATTCTTTGCATTGGTCTTCACTGCAGAGGATGTGAGGGAGATTCCCATATCTGAGCCATTCTTCTTAGGTGACAAATCAAAGGAATTGCCCCAGATTTAGAAGTCAATAGAGAAAGTTTCAAAACAAATTGATAAATTAAACAGTAATAAGTCACCAGGACCAGAGGGTATTCACCCAAGAGTTCTGAAGGAACTCAGATATGAAACTGCAGCTCTACTAACTGTGGTATGTAACCTATTGCTTAAATCAGCTTGCTTACCAGATGACAGGCAGATACCTAATGTAACACTGATTTTTTTTTTTTAAAAAGGCTCCAGAGATGATCTTGGCAATTACAGGCCAATAAGCCTAACTTCAGTAACAGGCAAACTGGTTGAAAACTCTAGTAAAGAGCAGAATTATCAGACACATATTGGGGAAGAGTGAGCACAGCTTTTGTAAAGGGAAATCATGCCTCACCAATCTATTAGAATTCTCTGAGCGGGTCAACAAACATGTGGACAAAGGTGACCCAGTGAATACAGTGTAATTGGACTTTGACAAGGTCCCTCACCAAAGGCTCTTAAGCAAACTAAGCAATCACCAGATAAGAGGGAAGGTCCTCTCCTGGATCAGTAACTGGTTGAAAGATAGGAAACAAAGGGTAGAAATAAACAGTTTTCACAGTGGAGAGAGGTAAATAGCGGGGTCTGCCAAGGACTTGTATGGGACCTGTGCTATTCATCATATTCATAAATGAACTGGAAAAAGGGGTAAACAGTGAGGTGGCAAAGTCTGTAGACAATACAAAATTACTTAAGATAGTTAAGTCCAAAGCTGACTGTGAAGAGTTACAATGGAATCTCACTAAACTGAGTGACTGGCCAACAAAATGGCAGATGAAATTCACTGCTGATAAACGCAAAGTAATGAGCAACAGAGGGTCCTGTGGCACCTTTAAGACTAACAGAAGTATTGGAGCATAAGCGTTCATGGGTGAATGCCCACTTCATCAGACACAAGTAATGGAAATTTCCAGAGGCAGGTATAAATCAGTATGGAGATGAGGTTAGTTCAATCAGGGAGGGTGCGGTGCTCTGCTAGCAGTTGAGGTGTGAACACCAAGGGAGGAGAAACTGCTTCTGTAGTTGGATAGCCATTCAGTCTTTGTTTAATCCTGATCTGATGGTGTCAAATTTGCAAATGAACTGGAGCTCAGCTGTTTCTCTTTGGAGTCTGGTCCTGAAGCTTTTTTGCTGTAAGATGGCTCCCTTTACATCTGCTGTTTTGTTGACTGGGGGGGTTTAATGGTTTTCCACAG